CACAAATATTAAAATGCCCACTGCTTGTCTGGGTATATATGCTGTAGGTCATGGCAGGGGAGCTGTGTTCCCTCAGAGACCTCTCTCTAAACATGGATTTGCTCAAATTCTGCCTCTACTATTGCCCCAGTTCGTGCATTTTTTTTTTCTTTTCCTTTCCAGAACAAAACTCACCAGTCGTCTTTTTCACTTGTCTGTTTTGCTTCTTAAATTGTGAGCACTAAACTGTGAGCGTGGAATAATAAATAGAAAAACCTCTACTCTTTAATGTCAGGTGAAAGAATTGCTAAACAATTAAACTGTGTGTATATATCTTCACAGATTATATTTTATAAATCACGCTTTTTTAGCTAAATATTTATAATTAAATGTTTTTATACTTTACAACAAAGCAGGTAATTTCATCTTCAATTATTTCTCCTGTTGCTGAAATGTACAAATAAAGCATTGTTATCTCTGGTCTTGCCTGTTGGTTATTTTAGGTCCTTGAATATACTGTTTTGTTCACAAATTTCAATCCCCACTCCTGATTGTGCCCATGTTTGATCCCCAGAGCTCTGCATCCTCACTTGGATGAGCGAGGGAAGCGTTCAGCTTCTTCTTGGTAGCACTTCCATATCTATACAGCAGTTCTGTGCAAAAAAAGCCCTAATGTTTGCAATCCCTTAGAAAGGGACATGGCTGTGTAAATATTTGAAATACTGTCCACTGCTAAATGTTGACATCTGAACCTTGTCAGCCTTCCCTTCTCTTAAAATAGCCACTGTGTCTCAGCCCGGTAGTGCCCCTGCTGGGAGCAGGGCAGGTTGCTTCAGCTAGATTTCCCTTTGCATTTCCTCTTTCTGCCTTTGTAGAAGGGAGGGGAAAAAAAAACAACGTGGACATCTAAAAAATATGTTCAGGCATCTTGTTTGTACCATTGCTGATCTGCTAAGCTTTGCTAGCACTGCCAGTTTGAGGGGAGGGCTCAGGGGAGGCCTAACTATGCATTGTTGCAGGTAGGATCCAGTGATGAAACAAAAAAGGTAAATATTTTGTCCCCTGCAGCTCTGCTCTGTTGGCAGTCAATGCATTGGCCCTGTGTCGATGAACCCTGGGACCTTGGAGGTCAGGTGAAATCAGGGTGAAGGTTCCTTAGTCTCTATTTCCACAGGAAAATTACAACACTGCAGCCCTAGATTTTCTTTTTTTGGTTGTTCTTTTTTTTTTTTTTTCTCCTCCACAGTGTAGCACACACTGCTGACTTTGCACTGCTTTGCATGTGCAGCTGGGTAAGGAGTCTGGGACAGCAGGAGGAGGGGAGGGGGAAAGGGGCTTTCAAGGGTTTTATTTCAATAGATTTGAGTCATCTCCAGCTGCCAAGTTTCAATAAGGAGATGAGCAGTGTGCCAGTGGTAGTTTTGTTCAGTTCAAATAGGTGCTGGTAGTTGGGGCCTTTATCCAGCATGGTGAACAGCACGTGCTTTTGGGTTTTGAAGTTGCAGCAATGTCAGCTTTGAAATGAGCTTCGCAAAAACTAACTAACTGACATTGGGAAATTAATTGCTTTCTAAATTGTTCTGTTTTGCTGGCAACCCTTGGATTGAATAACAATGTAATTAGGCTCTGCAGAAGGACTAAAAAGACATTCTCTTGCTAAATCTCCCATCTAATAGTAGCCGATAATAATTACTTAATATTATTTACCTGTAAGTAATATATTACAGTCCTTGATGTTCTGTCTTCCTTTTATGCGTGGTGTCACCACAGGTGGCTCTTGAAGGTCGTGGCAACCCCAGCTCTCTTTACTGGTACCTGCTGGTGCCTCAATACCGTCCTGGCACTGCTGACATGCCCCAAGTGACTCGAGGTCTATTTGCGATGGCAAGTAGAGAAGTTTGGTGACAAGGCTGTTGCAGTTATGAGTCTTTCCCAGGAGGGATGAAGACTTGCCTCAAGTCGCTTGTCTCCTAGAACAGAAACTCTGGGTAAAGCTTGATCTCGGGAGGATTTTTGTGTCAAGTTTCCCAGAGCAGGAGATGCACAGTAGAGGAGTCATAGAATCGTTCAGGTTGGAAGAGACCCTTGGTTTCATCAAGTCCAACCATCTACCCTACTCTACATAGTCCTCCCCTACACCATATCCCTCAGTACCGCATCTAAACATCCCTTAAACACATCCAGGGATGGGGACTCAACCACCTCCCTGGGCAGCCTATTCCAATGCCTGACCATTCTTTCTGTGAAAAATTCCTTCCTAATGTTTAGTCTAAACCTACCCTGTTGGAACTTGAAGCCATTCCCTCTTGTTCTGTCGTTAATTACCTGTGAGAAGAGACCAGCACTGAGGGTGGGTTCAGCCTGTCCGGACACTCTGATCTCAGGGTGTTTCTCACCAATGCTCCTGTCACAGCCATCATCGTTGGCTGTAGGGGACAGCATGTGATGGCAGAAAGTCTTACCTAAAAAGCTCAGTGTAAACACAGCTAGGCTGGAAAAGAGAAACAGTACAATCAGGTTCCTCCTGGCTTAGGTCTCAGGCTTTACCTGTGAGGATTAACGTGACTCAATCAAATTTTAACCTTATGGGAGTGTCCAAATGAATCCCTTGGCAAGATGGGTTGGAGTAACCCCAGTGCTTTACTGTCGCCTTTCAAACTCAGCTGCCCGCATGTGGGAAGGATGTCTTAAAATAACTGGCTGTTGCAGAAGGAGCAGCGTGTTTGTGGTAGTCCATCTTTCAGCATAAGCCACCTGAGTTGACAGGTGCATTGAAGTGACTGACTTGAAAACTACAGTCGGATGGATGTTCACCTGCCTGAATTGTCTGCTGAGATACTGACTACTCTCAGGCTAAATCCTCAGTATTTTGATGTTTGAAAAGTGGGAGTGGCAACGTGACAGATTCTGCCTCATCTTCTGGGCTGCTTTTGACAATTATTTGCTGTTTCAAAGCTGCGGTCTGTGTCTGTAGCTCTTCTGCTGTACCATGGGAGGCAGGCTCTTGCTTCCAAGCCGGGATGTGTGAAAGCAAAGGGTCAATAAGGAAGGTTTTTAGTTCATTAGGGACACCGGTAATGCAGGGCTCTGAATTACATCATGCCCTCGCTACCCAAAGGAGCTGCTGGGGTGATTTCACACCCAGGCAACACCAGCTGAACTCCTGTAATTGACCCATGCAGGAATTTAACCACACAGGTACAGTCTAGAATTTTCGTGACAGTCTCCCTGTTCTGCTTGAGTGAGTGTTATGGAGGGTTTAAGGTGCATCTGCTATTACAAAAATAAAGGTCATCCGAGTTTCCTTGAGGCATTTTACAAAAATGCCAAGTTCTGCAGATGAGGCATGTTTCTGACACTCTCTTCTTGAATTTTTTTGTCTCAATAATATAATGTTTGTGCTAACTGGGATAAAAAAAATAAATTCCACAAGTGCTAAACTTCTCCCATCTCAGCTAAAGCTTGTCTTAGGGCATGTGAAAATATTTTTGAGAGCTCAAACTCAAGCTCAGTAAGTGGAATAACAAGGCACAGACACTTCTGCAGTGGGGTTGGAAGTTCTGACTAACAGCTGGAAAGGCAGGGCTGCTTCTCTCCCTCCCCGTAACGTTATTAGTATTGGCTCAAGCTGTGTCACAACAACCAGGAGGATCAGATATAGCTTATCAGGGGCCAGCCCTTTCCTAGGGAGCTTTGCTTTCACGCACCAGCTTCCTAAAGGAGAAATTCCATTCTAAGATTTTCAGGGGAAGTGGTCCAGTCCTATGTTGCTCTCAGCTAAAAATACGTCCCAAGAATTACAGGCTTTCAACCCATTAGCTCAGAAGAATCACTTGTGTTGCATCATTTTTGGCCGGCATTCAGCACACAATGACAAGTATTTATTCACCCAGAAGAGGAGGGAGAAAGCTACGTGGACTGTGGCTGAAATAATGATTGGAGTGAAATTGTTTCAGCTGAAAACGGTTATGCCTTCAATAGCGCAGAACAGCCAAGAAGAGGTTTTTTAGGCTGAAGGAACCACACGGGGCTATCCTGCATCATGTACTAATATGGGTCCTAAAGGACTAAAAATAGAATGGTATTTTTAGCTGGAAAAAAAGTTTGCCGTGAGCTCCTGATTTTTCCACCGGGAAATCTGGACTCAAAATATGTACCACCTAATGCCCTTTCTTCTGTCAGCAGCCTCCCGGGCCGTCCCCCACAGCAGCAGGTCCACAGACCTCCTCTGGAGTCCAGCTGTGAGCCGGTCTGACCCCTGTAATGCCTGGACACAGCATCTGCGTAAAATACCGCTGCTTCTCACAGCTTTAGTGCTACCAATAAAGCCAGAGATGACTTAGGAGGCAAGGGAAAGGCTACGGCTGCGGGCGATAACCCGCGCTCCTGAAGCGAGGAGGCAGCAGCCCGGCAGTCATTTACCTCAGGGGCCGAGGCCCCACCCGCCGGTTTGCTCCCCCCCCGGCGCTATGGGGGGCCCTGACAGGCGGGGAGGGAGGGAGGCGGGAGGTTTAAGGCAGTACCGTCACTGCCTGGGGAACTCGTGCTGAGGGTGGTCCCGCCGCTCCGGGAGAGGCGGGAGGCGCGGCGGGGCTGGCCGGGTAACAGCCCTCAGCACCGAGCCGCCGCCATAGCACCTCCACCTTCCCACAGGGCTGTGCGGCGGGAGGGTGCAATCCTCGGCACTTCCAGGAGGGGGCGCTGTGTGTGAGGGGATATGCGCGCGCAGCCGCTCCCCCCCCCCCCCCCCCCCCCCGGGGCGG